ACAGCATTCCTCAAGAATTCCAGAGGTAGCAAAGAAGAAAGCTTTTTGGGTGAAGGTCCGATTTTGCTTCGTCGGCGGGTCTTCTCCTCGAGGGAGCCACACGGCAGTGCTTGTTAGAATCGTATAGGACCCAACTCTCATCTCCGTAATCATGCCTTCCAAAAACTCCTTTCGGTGCGGACAAAGAAGGAGAAACTGACAAATGGGTACCCGCCTGAACCGCGTGCTATCGGTCAAGACATGAGGGATCCATCGAGTCAGCACTTTCCTGTGGCGAGGGCGTGGAGGGGACCGAGGACTGTGGGATGGGTGCACCCGAGTCTTATCACAAGGCTGCGGGTGCTAACCTCCGGATCCTCTTCGACAGCGCCGAGAACGGTGGAGTCTTCCACTGTTTGGGGGCTTCCCAACCTTGTCTTGTCTTCGAAAGCCGTGTCTCCTCCTTCGAAGCCTGCGAACCAGAGCTTGGCACTGATGATGGAAGTGGTGTCCCTTCCCAATGCGATGCTGATAATGTTGACGGTTTCCACTGCTCCTGTGCCGCAGCGCCATTCATTGAAGATGATCGCTCGAAAGTGCTCTTGTGGAATCGACATCATGATTAAAGTTAAAGAAGGCAACCCGGCTATATATACCTGTTGCGGAGAAGAATGATCGATAGTCTCGATCAATAATTGGAAGATCCGGAACATTCAAAAATCGGCTCGAGACTTTTTCACCATCCCAAGTAGATCATCATCTTTTCCCATCCTCTTCTCAAAGCGACACTTCAAAGCGATACGGGTCCATAGGTCGCGCTTCCACACCATTCTGCGACTGTCTCGTTCTGATCCTGCCAGTGTCCACCTTGGTCCGACATATATATTTTCCGAATGAAAATGGAAATTATGCTTCAAAAACGAGATTTTACCGAACGTCCCGCCTGCTACAGTAAACGGGTACATGATCTGGGATAACATTCCATCCATCCAGTATAGCCACATTTTTTGAATGCCGTTATAGCAATGAACGGAACAACGGCAAATAATCAAAAACAGATAGACCAAAGCTGATGGATTTCTACAGAGGTCCATATGTCGTCCTTGCTGTGCATGGGTTCTAAGGTTAACTCTGTAGATGAGGCCATTGCAATCTTTTCGGAATCAGGACGGTTTCAGCCCTATAGCCGAGCTTATAGACTTGCCATTTGGTCCCGTTCCCCTTCATCTTGCGCTTGACGTTCGTTCGATTCCAATAGTTGTTGGTAAGCGAAGAGCTTGAAGGGTTCTCGGGATTTCGAGCTGCAACCATGACGACCAAAGTTGCTGGCTACTTCTTTGTATGAACATCGCCCCACACAACACTCACGTAGCTTTGAGGTTTTTTTTTTTGAAATCTACTAGATTATTGGATGGAAAGCGGGTTAAAACTTGTGCTCAGGTCTCTTGGCAAGATGGCGAGATATTTGTTTCAGGGCAACTAACTGCTGTAGTTCTGATTCGTGATCTATGTCTCATAGTGGGTGGCTTTTACAAGAGGTATCGTTCCATGGAGCCACCGTATTCTCTGAATCGGTTTTTCAACCCAGAGGTCTCTTCCATGCAAGTTGTTCCAACACTCGTTAGCAAGGTAAGAACACTTGTACCAACATTCTTTAGCGATTCTAGTGATACACCGTTGACTCAATGTATGACAAAGTACCTAAAGCGTCAGTCATACGCCTGTTTGGGTACATGCATCAGCTAAAAATGGTACTTATTCAAGCAAATCCGCTGCTGTTGCGGTTTTCAATACCATGAATCTCATACGCATAACATCACGCTTCAGATTACATTACCTTGTGGATGGTTGACATCTAAGAACTGTTAAAATTCCAAGTGACGTCCGCCTACCACCGTTTTGTTTTCATATATCTATCATTTATCAATTCAAAGATTGCTCAATCTCCATAAAAAGTATAGTAGCCGTAAATATTTCTGAAGTTATTTTTATTCAGGTAAATACCGTTCTGCAACTCAGCGTGATTGCCACTTGCCTTTCTATCCCTGTGTTCAGCTTAGGTGAACTTAGCACATCGCTTTCTATTGGATTGTGGTATGTTTTCGATTCGCCCAAGTATTTTTCTTGCTTTAGGTGCTGATTTTTGCTGTTGTAAGACGCTTTTTTTCAGCTGGGTGACGGCGTTAACTACGGTGTGGTCAGGCTTACAGTATGCCAGTGGTGGAGCTCTAAAAAAAGTTTGACATAAGGTTTAATTTAACCCATTTCTTATGCTAACTAATTGTATACTATGTGTTGAAATTGCAAGTTTTGGCAGTGATCACTTTTGTTGACTTACAGCTGTAGCTTTAGGCGTTTTTATATTTGCATGTTTCAGAGAACTGTAACATAGGATTATGTATTGACTAAAGAAACTGTTTTGTTTATCTCTACTTGATCTGGGCGCGCAGGATCCTTTTGTGTGCTTAAGTTCGATTAGATCATCGTTGTACTTACCTTAGTTAATTCATTCTGGCATTTTGACAAAAGTAAAATGTTATTCCCGTATTGGTGTTGGCTTCTTTATCATAGAAACAGAGGGCAATGTGCCTCTGCGGAGAGGGCAGTATGTGGGAAGCTCACTAGTACTGAGCCTAACGGAGGGGGATGAGAATGTGCGTCTTGGATTCCCTCCAGTCCATGGCTTAGTCCTAAACTGAGTGTTTCCGTGGATCCGACGCAATGCCACAACCTGCCCCTCCCCAGGTCGACAGACTACTTGAACTCGTTCCTCTAAACCGCCTCACCTTGAACCTCCGCCTGCGCTCTCTCGCCTTAATCAGCGGCTTATGACACTGTGATCTCACACATTCAAACTTTTGCCACACTGTATTGGCTCACCCACCTCAAGTCCCTCCCCCCTACAAGGCTTAGTCCTAGGCTCTCACCTCCCTCCTTGGGATTTGGAGCCGAGCCAGGCGCCATTCTCTAATCGTCTGTGCTCTCCGCCATTCGTGGCAGGACCATAGAAGAAAGTTGAAGTAAGCCGTAAACCTCCGGCCCTCCCCGGTTCACACTGCGCCGAAACAGATTATCCTACTCAGTGGTGGCTAAAAGGTATACGAGAGGGAACACGCAAATGGTTCGCGGTTTGAATCCTACCATTCTCTCAAGACATTTAGACTTTGCCACATTGGCCGGGAAGTAGAACATTGAAGGAGGTACTACCTACACGCAGTTGAGCAGTCTCGCTTCATCTAGCGGCACTAATTACTTGCGTGCGCTGTGCCTAGAGCGCGCTAGTTGGAAAAATCGTCAAATGTACCCCCTATTTAAAGGACTATAACTTTCTTCATTGATAACCATTTCAGAAAGTGAAGGCAGCTTTTGAATGCACAAGACTTCTAGTTTCTAAATTGTGCTGAGCGTTTTTCTAAGCACGCCTATTCTCGAGAGTGGGAGACGTCGAGGAATTGTCGAGGAAATTGAAATTCACATGCGAGTTCCCACTCTTTGGAAGGCAGTAGCTGTCTTCATTGGCAATGCTTTGAAAATCGGAGGAAAGCGTTGTAAAGTAGAAGATTTACGCTTTCTGATAGGTGCTCCAGTTGTTTCGAACGCTTTCTAGTTCGCGAGAAATCTGCGTCGAGGAAATGTCAAGGAAATTTTCGAAGCCACTCGAAAACTCTATTACTCCCTCGCCGTAGTAGGGAACTTCTTTGAACACCTTCAAAATGCTTCTGTACACGTCAGTTCGATGGAGTAAATTGAAAATGATGCACTTGGCGCAGATCCATTCCGTTCTTGGTATGCGCCATGCAGTGACCCACTCATTTGAAAGGTGTTTTGTCTATACGACAACTTGACTTGTGCAGACGGAGAGGTGTTTTTCAACTAATTAGATAACTCTTGTGGTCATAGTATAGTCTGATCATTCCTTTATTTACGTCGCTTCCTTTCCGACCCTGTTCCGATGAATGACACATTTGCTGC